CGACCCATTGTTGCCCCAGCTTACGGCTAGGGCGGTGATTTTTCAGATTCTTGGTCGATAGGTAAACCTTGTCTCCTACGTCCCAGTCAATGGCTCGTCGGCGTCGATTCGCGTATTTAGACATATCCTCTTGTGCTTTGGCCATGTTCTCCTTTGCGTAAATCCATGCGGAGTGCATGCGGTTTGCTACTGCTTTGGCTTCCTTCTGGTTCATGACTTCCCTAGGGGTCGTGGCTTTCGGGGTTTCCCAGTCCCAACTGGTGCGCGGATCAGTTCCGTACTTGAGTCGGTAGGGGGTCATTCTGATCGAGGCATGGGAAGGGTCATTTGCACCCGATCCATGATGGGAATGAGCTCGCTCCAGTTATCCTGGTAATGTGATACGAAGGGCCTCAGTCTCTGATCGATATACCTATTCATGATTTCCGTCTGCCCGTCGGTCTGCTTGTGATAGGCTGTCGACAGCTTAATCTTGACCCCTATGATTCGGCAGAACTCTCGCCAGAAAGCTGATATGAATTGGGGTCCGCGATCACTAATGATCGACTCTGGGTGTGTCCGAATCGATATATCCATTCGATGAATAGCTGCGCCATTTGGCGGGCATCGGTGGTCTTATGACACGGTATGGACACCGAACCCTTACCGAGTCGGTCCATGAACACAAGGATGCTGTCGAATCCGTGTTTATCCTTTGGGAATTCCTTAAAGTCCATCGTTAGGTGTTGCATGGGGTATTCGGGTACCGGTAGGGGGTGTAAGAAGCCTTGCTGCTTCGTCACGCTAGTGTGAGAAAGTCGGCACGTCACCAGTTGCGCACATATCGGAGGCAATCCGCTTCCATTCCGACCCAATGATACTTCGGGGCGAGTAACTGATAAGTTTTCCTGCCACTAGGGTGGGCTACTGATACTTGATCGTGTGCTTCCCGTATGAGTTTCGTACATAACTCGGTGTGCCGGTTTACGCACAGTCGACCTTTGTATAGCAAGAGTTGGTCCTTCATTATAAACCCATTAGGTAGGGGGTCTTTCACGCGAGTGTCGGTAAACGACCTCCTATTATCCGCGCAGAGCGCTTCTATCAGGTCAAAGGGGACCTGGGTGTTCGGGCATCCATCGCATTGATCGAGGCCACGTACGTTTGTGCTAATTCGGCACTGATTCGGGAGTGTAGTCGGGCTGGGCCTAACAGCACCCTCGCACGGCTGTCGAGTTTGACCTTCTGTTGCGTAATCAGGTCTTGCTCTCTTCGGCTCAGTATATCTGCCTTCTGATTGTTCTTGCCAGCAGTATACGCAATAGAGAAATTGAAGTCGGAGAGTAGCTCCATCCACCGAACCTGCTTCGCCGTGAGAACCTTCGTCGACATGAAGTATTCCAGCGATCGGTGATCTGTATAGACGTCGATTCGGTGGCGTACCGATGCTAATTCTGGCCTCCATTTTGCGAACGCTTTGACGATGGCGAACAGTTCCTTGTCGTGGATCTCCCAATTGATCTCATGCCCAGATAGGACGTGACTGTAGAAGCTTACAGGATACCATCGCTTGTCGGGGTGTTCCTGAGAAAGGACACCGGCTACGACTCCATCAGAAGAGTCTGTTTCCAGCTTCGTAGGCAATTCGGGGTTGAAGTGGTGGAGCGCCTGCACGGCTAAAAGCTGTCGGCGCATTTCTTCAAAAGCGTTCTCACATTCGTCAGTCCACAGGAACGGTTCTGAGGGGCTGGTGATAGTGGTGAGAGGCTTGGCTATTTTCCCGAAATTTCTGATAAATTGGCGGTAGAAGCCGCAGAATCCAAGGTAAGACTTCACGCCTGTGACAGTTGTTGGCCGGATCCAATTCCGGAGGGGTTCGATCTTCTCGGGATCCGCTTCGACACCGGTAGTAGTCAGGATATAGCCTAAATACTTTGTCCGGGTTACGTTGAACTCGCATTTCTTAATGTCGGCTTGTAGTCCTGCTTCTCGAAGCCGTTGGAGGACCTTATGTACGTGGTCCATGTGTTCCGCGGGGTCCTCGGAGTAGATTAGGATGTCGTCTAGGTAGGCAGTACAGAAGTCGTCCAAGTATTGCATAAGAACGTCGTTCATATACCTCTGATAGGTTGCGGGGCCGTTCGTTAGGCCAAACGGCAGCACTTTGCATTTGTAGGATCCATACCGAGTCCGGAAGGTCGTGTACTCCTCGGAGTCGGGGTCCATTCGTATACGATGGAAGGCTTGCCTAATGTCTAGCTTCGTGAAGATTTTTGCTTTCGACACCCGTCCTAGTAGTTCGTCGATATGCGGGATAGGGTAGGGGTCGTTACGGGTAAGTCCGTTCAACTTCCGGTAGTCGATACAAAATCTCAGTTTGCCATCTGCCTTCTTCACGAACAGTATAGGGGAGGCAAACGGGCTATTGCTATTGACTATAAAGCCCTTCTCGAGGTTCTCTAATAGGTATTGCTTAGTCGCCTTAAGCTCTTCGGTGCTTTGTCGGTATAGTGGCGAAAAGGCATTTGGTAAAGGGGCTTCTAGTTGTATCTTGTGATCGTATATGCGATGCGGGGGAAGCTGATCAGATTCCGACTTCGAGAAGACATTGGAATAGTTGCAGTGCATATGCGGAAGCTTGTCCCGAATGAGGCGGAGCGTTTCCTCGTCCTCGGCCGCTTCCCTCTCTCGGATGATCTGGTCGATCTCGTGAGATGCTTGTCGTAAAGAACTCGGAGTCGCTTCGCATCATCTCATAGTGGAAAGCGTTTGCGCCAATCTCGCAAATTTGGACCGGCGTGAAGCTGCGTACCAGGGTCTGGCGTCGGGAAAGAGAGAAGACTCCGCTCCTCCCATGATTCTTTCTCTCATATGCGGATGGTCCGTTTCTTGGAGGTTTCGCCTCCACTTGCCCTAAGGGTCCGTCTTTATAGGTTTCCACGGGCGAGGCTCGTGTCCTTGGGGTTTTGGGGTGCAGGTGGGTCGTTCCCTCGTCTCGCACCGGGCTCGGTGGGGTGATCATAATAGCGTCACGATGGGCCGTTATCACTTTCATTGGTATCGAGCGTCTGCCCTCACGTCATCTGTCGTCATGGTCGATGGCATCGTCCCGCCGGTTCGCATCCGATTGATGGGCGGGGTGACGTATAGACAGTTCACGCGAGTGGTAGGGCAAGGTGATCTCTTTGCTCCAGCTAGGAGTAGGCGGGTACTCCTTTGGCCATACTAGCAGGCTCTTTGCAGAGTCGAGTAGGATTCGGAAGCGGCTAAAAAGCTTCTTCCCAATTATCACATCTTGCGCTCCGAGATCTAGGAGCACAAAGGGGCAGTTATATATTCGGCGTCCTTCGACTGTCAAGTGTAACCGAATATACTCCGATACGTAGCTTTGGATATTTCGCTGAAATCCACGTATGGGTACAGAGTAGGGCAGTTTCCGTATGGGGCTCTGAAGCGCTTTCGACAACCGTTGCGCGAAAAGCTTATTAATGACGAGGTAGCCATTTGCTCCTGTGTCTGCGAGTGACTTTGTTTGCACCCCGAGTCCGTTCATACTCAGGGTTGTATCAACGAGAAATTGGGAGCCTCCCAAGAGCTCTCGTAAATCCAGTCCTTGCAGATCACATTTGCGTAGACCTAGGAAGGAGCCTTTCCCTAGGCCTCGTCGTTTTCCTCCAGGGACGCATCCGACTGGTGGGCGACTGCTTCCTCCCACTGCTCTTCGTCCTCAGGGGCTTCGCGGTCAATCTCCTTGACGGTGGGGTTGAGCGGGCATTTGTCTTGGAAATGGCCCGGCTTGCCGCACTTGAAACAGTTCCCGGACGTAGCCGGCACGGCGGTCCGCACGCGGCCTGTAATGTCCGGCTTGGGGGCCGTGGGCGTAAAAGGAGTCCTCTGGAAGGAGACCAGAGGGCTTCTTGTAGGCCTCGGCGGTTGGGTTCTTCCGGGCTCAGCGGGTGTGAACCTAGATGAGCTCAGACGAGCGGGTCCTCGGGAGCTCGACTCGCCGCTCTTGGACGGGAAGCTTAGCTCGTTGTTCCGGCGTCGCTCCTGATCGAAGGCGGTGAGTTCTCGGACCATAGTGTGGTAGTCTCCCTTCCATTGACTTTTGATAACCGCTACGCGGCTACGGAATTGAGGGGTCAACTTGTTCCACATGTACCGACACCATTCCGACTCTGTGACCTGTCCCGTAATAGCTGCACTTTGGAAGCGAGCTTTGAACTCTGAGAAAGTCTCGTTGGTATGTCCTTTCTCTCCCATTTGGAGGTCGTCGAAGAGGTTCCGGGCCTGTTCCGTTTCGTTGCCAGTGAGGTAATATGAACCCAACAGGTCCATCATCTCGTCGGCACTCCGAAACCCATGTGTCGCGGATAGGTATTGGGGTTCGAGGTATTTCTTTGCCAGGCCAGTCGTAGTCCCCCATATCAACGCTCTTCTCGAGACGTCGGTAGGGTAGTGATCCTCATTGACTACGAGGCGGTCCCGAATGGACGCGCTCCATTGCATAAAGGTATGTTCTATCCCATCGCTGAGCGGCGTAATCTTCTCAGAGATGGTGGATTTCTTGTAGCGATTCGGAGGGTCTTCGGAATACATCCTCGGAATCGATGGAGAACGAGTGTTTCGAAGAGGCGGCAACTGAACTGTCTCGGGGTGTTTCGTATAGGGGAAGTTCGTCGCTCCTCAACTTCGACGGTGTCCACCTGTGGCGTGGACGGTATTCTGGTCTGGGTTGCCGCTAGGTTGGCTATCATTTCCTTGATCTCTTGCATCTGGATCTCGAGGTTTGCCATTCGATCCGGTATGTCATCGGTGGGTGCAGCGGTCGTAGCTGCAGCGGTGGTTTGTCTCGTTGACATTCGTGACGGTTGACCATCATTGTCTTGGGGGATGTTTGAGGTCATTTTCCTCATATTGGTTCGGGAGTGTATCGGTGTCGATACGAAAGAGTTTGACTTCCGGTAGCTCGTAGCTATCAACACTCTTGTTCACAATTGCCTCTGTGCTTGAGGGGGTTCTTAAGGATCTCGTATCCTATTCGGCGCCAACGCGTCGGCGACTTTACCAGCTTGCTCTGCAGGATCAAACCCTGATCCACTGGTTGTCCGTGAGTTCTCTGGGGTCACGGCTATTTGAAGTCGTCAGGTCTCTACTTCGAAATGTCACTGAGTCGCGGTCGGTGGTGTTTCGACAGTTCTCCTGAGTCGTTCCGTTGTGGGATATTATTTAAGTACGGCCGTCCCCGGCAGGCGTGATCTTTTTTGTATAATGTAAGGACACAGGGAATACGGCTCTCCGTAGGTGCATATGGGAGTGCGAGTCGGAGGTGATGCTGTATTCTATCCTATAGGTCTACTACGAAGGATACAAAAAAGATGAAGGTGTCACCCTGTATGGCTGTTCCCTTAAAATACCCGAAACCGCTCCGACTCAGCTAGCTCCCTGTTTGCCTAAGGCTTCCTTACGTTATGTGCCTAAGGCTGTCAGTCGCGACTGACCCGTAACGGCCCCGAGTCTCGATGGCGCCACGTGACGGCCGTAACTACCCCGAGTAAGGAGGCATCCTTACACTGTATATAGATCGAGCCACTGCTCGAGTGCTTCTCTTCTCTTTCCTTTCTTCTCTAGATTGAGTTTAATTCATAATACCCAACTGGCGCCCTATGCCTTGGTGAACCGTGACAGTGGAAGGACGTAGCAGCTCTCTTACCCTTATTCTTGACCTTCAGGGTGCGAGGCTCCTTGCCCTTATCAGCGGTAGTGAACTCGCGTTGGGCAAAGAGGAGGGAGGCCATAGCCTCACGGGTGGCGACCGAATCATCTTCCAGCCCAGCGTCCTCGTCACAGCGCAACAGTTCAAATAGGCGTCGGCCTTGAGCTGCAGGGCAGTGAGGGCATCCTTCTGATCAGGACCGACCTGCCTGGTTGTCAGCATATCCCACTAAGAAGGAAAAGGAGGCCTACCGGAACGCAGCGGTGGTTTCCTTGGAGACAGTCGCCGCACTTGTCCAAGCCAACAGGGACCCAGCAGATCTGTCCAGGATAGTTGTAATAGGTGACCGAACACTTGACGCAGCAGTCGCGGGAGCCTGCGCGAAGGGGACCAACAGACTCTGGAACTGGGCGGCGCGCAGAAAGCTTCCACCCCAGCGCCGTACGCATCTCCTTGGCGGCCAACTGAGCAGCGACCTCCTCCTCCTCCTCTGGAGCATCCTCAACCGAAGGTGATCGGTAGGGACGCACGGTGCGAGGGCGAGAGGTGGACGCAACGGAAGCAGGACCGAAGGGAGTAGGGGTGGCAGGTGACTCCAACTCGGGAGACCCAGACATCTGGGCGGAAGAGCGCTTGAGAGGGGTGGCGACAGGCGCCACTGTCTTCTTGGGCTGCTTGCGCGGAGCCATGATTGACGGAACTAATCCACAGATCAGTCCCTGAAGATGAAGGACGGAAGGGAGGTAAATACCTTGCGAAGAGGGAGTAAGCCTTGAAGCAAACCTTGGAAGAGGATCAAAAGGAAGAAGCCAAGAACCCAGAAGAGCGGGCACTTGGTGTGAGGTTGTGTGAGGAAAGTAGGAAGTTGGGTAGGAAGTGGGAGTTAAGCGCGATGCCCACAACAACTGGGGGTGGCCGCGGCACAACAACAAGGGGGGTCACGGGACCCCCCTGACAGGCGCGAGTTCGATAACAACAACCCACCCTACGCGCGAGCAAACAAGCCAAACAAGCCCAAACAAGGGCGCAATCAGCCCTGATCTCTATGCCTGGAATTGGGGGCAATTCCCTAGAAGGGGGAGGTAATTGTAAGGCGGCCCTCACGTGAGGGCACGTGAGGTGTCACGCTCTTACAGTGGACCTGGCGGGCTCGGTAAATTAGGGCCTACGGGTTCCTGTATATAAGGGGCTGGAGGCTCGGAGTGAGGCCTCCAGTCAATAGTCGCTGTATATACGTAGACCTATTGTTACGCATTGAATCCTACTTCCTACCTACTGATCTGGTTCCCTGAGCTCCCGTGTGACCCTGGGTCCTACGCCTTTACATCTGTCCTGGAATTGATCGTGTTGTAAAGCCCTTTGAAGGGCTCATCCTCCAGTAAAGCCCAGTCTCATCCATGTTGTAAATATTGTCCTCTAAAAACTCCCCCGCAATAGTTTGTATAGCCTTCATTTGTTCTTCTGCAGTGACACCAATAGATCCAGCTTCGCCATGTAGACTTCGATATAATATATTATGCCGTTGTCTGGCATAGGTAGTCCACGGTATTGTGGTAGCTGATTCCAGATAATCTTCGCCTTTGATTGTAAGATTTCTGTAGTTGTAATGCCACCACGCTCTTCAATAAGCCTCTGCCAGTCGTAAAAAGCAGCTTCTAATTCAGGCCAGGCGACAGCGCGGCGACGCTGAGCTTTAGAGCTGTTTGTTTCCAGAGTATTAGAAGTATCGTCAAGGTCCAAAAATCGAGAGCTAAGGGATTCTGAGACTGTAGATTGGCTAAGTCGACGATTGTATTTCTCGAGAAACCACTGTCTAGTGGCCTTTTGTGTAGGTTTCGGATGGTGAGATCGATGCCAGGTTCAGAGGGCTTTTCCCTTTTCGAGAGACATAGAATAGAGCTTTTTCGAAGGCATTTTGAAGGTATTCTAAGAGTAGTCCAGTAATTAGTTTAAGTCGATAATTGGGAAAAGGGACTCAATATCATGTGTATCGTGATTTTTATGACGAATGGAAGGATCCGAAGAAAGTTATTGAGTTATCCAGAAAATTGACTAATCGTGTATCAACTTAACGAGATAATACTGTACAACTGGCAGCGTCTTCCCGCCGGGTGGATCAGACCGGGGGGTGGGGGTACTTTTTTAGGTTACCAAGAGCTTGGCTGCTCCACTAAAACTGCGCTCCCGTTATATTCTTATTTTTGGGACGAGCGTTAAAGAAGGCTCTATGCCCCGAAATTGCTTGAGAGCACGATGTTGGAATTTGTCACTCAGAGTTGTTGTTGGTGGCAGCGAATGGTGTGATAGTGTTTAGACGCTCGCGTTTCAAACCAGGCGCGCCACTATTTTACCCCTGAACTCAGACCCCAGACCCCTGACCACCCCTGGGAAAATGCTATCAGACATCCAACAGACAGAATAGTATCACAGGGCTCCAGCACGTAATCTCCATGATTTCAAGTTCCGATAGCTGTAACAAACTCGCTGAATGCTCGAAGCCCTTTATATTCTAAGCTTCATGCGTCTGCATTTATTGCGTTTATTTTGTCAAAATAAGGGGTGGTTGCTCTGACCTGAATCCTGAGGCGTGCGGTGGCTACCTACTAGCGTGCGTCATGGGGGACTGACCCCAGACCGGACCATGGGGCGGTCCGGTCCCAAATCTTCAACCCAGACTGCGGTCCGGTCTGAAGCCAAACAGTTTTCACGGCACTACTTGAACATTTTTCACGTGGTTTTAGATAGATTGGCAATTACTATAATTATTACTATATGTCTGTATTACACTACGACTCTAGAATTTCTCGACCAGACTGTGACTTGTTATGGACTTGACTTAATTCGGTTGTCTCCGTTGTCCCCTTCTGGTGTATGTTGAGCCCATTATCTTTCTGTGGCCTCTTTGCAATAGAAGGCTTTGTAAGTGAAGGTAGTGAATAACCACCCTCGTTTTGGCTTGGGGGCAGCCCTTGTAAATCGTCGACCTCAAGGTCAATAAAGTCAAGTGTGTCAACCTGACTTTGGTAATGAACTTGTCTATGTAGGTCTTGGTTCTGGGGTTGCGATTGCCGGACCCTAGGCAACTTATGAAGACCTTGTCGCTCTGATTGATGTATCGGTTCATGATTTCCGTCTGTCCATCAGTCTGCTTATGATAGGCAGTCAACAGCTTAACATTAACGCCGATAATTCGACAGAACTCCTGCCAAAAGGATGATACGAATTGGGGTCTGCGGTTGCTTACAATCGACTCTGGAGTGTGTCCGAATCGGTATATCCATTCGATGAACAATTGTGCCATTTGCTGGGCAGTTGTGGTTTTGTAGCAAGGTATGGTCACTGAACTCTTTCCGAGTCGGTCCATAAACACTAAGATGCTGTCGTATCCATGCTTGTCCCTTGGGAACTCCTTGAAGTCCATGGTGAGGTGTTGCATAGGATATTCGGGTACGGGCAGCGGGTGTAGGAATCCTTGTTGCTTGGTGACATTGGTATGAGAAAGCCAACATGTCACACAATTCCTCACATAGCGCAAACAATCTGCTTCCATCCCGACCCAGTGGTACTTTGGGGCAATCAATTGATAGGTTTTCCAGCTGCTAGGATGTGCCACCGACACCTGGTCATGCGCTTCTTGGATTAGTTTCTTACATAGCTCGGTGTGGCGATTTACACATAGCCAGCCTTTGTCTAGAAGAAGCTGGTCGTTCATCGCGAACACGTCAGGTAGGGGGTGTTTTGCGCATGTCTCTGTAAACGACTCTCTGTTGTCCGCACATAAAGCCTCTATTAAATCGAAAGGCATCTGGGGCTTAGAGTGTTACGGCTAAGTACTAGTGCTATGGCTAGCGCTTACGGCTGCAACCTCACATGATGGATAACATTGGATATCATGGATATCATGGATATTATGTTATCCATGTTATCCATGGATATCCCTTTGGCACGACGCCACTATATAAGTAGATAGTATTTCCTTAGATAGGAGCTTCGTGCTCAACTCAATATAGTATTCTTTACAATACTGTAACGTGTTACTTGGAAAGCCTTTGTGTCTAATCCACTGCCTCCACTGTCGAGTCAACCTTATGCAAGGAACCTCTGTGTCTTCTATCGTTTAGAAGTCAGCGTTACATAGAGGTGTCCATCGAATTAATGGATGCTATGTAGCTCCCCTGAGTTCGGTGCTGATTCGGAGGTGCAGGCGGCTTGGACCTAACAATACCCTCACCCTACTATCAAGTTTGACTTTCTGCTGCGTTACCAAGTCCTAGTCTCTTCGGCTCAGAATATCTGCCTTCTGGTTATTTGTGCCCATGGTGTACGTAATGCAGAAGTTGAAGTCGGAGAGTAGTTCCATCCCGAACCTGCTTCATGGTGAGAACCTTGGTAGACATGAAATATTCTAGCGAACGGTGGTCAGTGTAAACATCGACTCAGTGGCGCACCGAAGCCAACTCGGGCCTACATTTTCCAAAGGCCTTTACTATTACGAATAGTTCCTTGTCATGGATCTCCCAGTTGATCTCGTGTCCGGATAGGACATGACTGTAGAAGCTTACAGGGTACCACCGCTTGTCAGGGTGTTCTTGAGAGAGGACACCAGCTACGACTCCATCGGAGGAATCTGTCTCCAGCTTCGTAGGCAATTTGGGGTTGAAGTGGTGAATTGCCTGTACTGCTAGGAGTTTCTGTCGCAATTCCTCAAAAGCAGCCTCACATTTGTCTGTCCATCGGAACGGCTCTGAGGGACTAGTGATGGTCGTGAGGGCTTTGCTATTTTGCCGAAATTGCGAATGAATTGTCTATAGAAGCCACAGAATCCCAGATAGGACTTCACACCTGTAACAGTGGTCGGTCAGATCCAGTTACGAAGGGGTTCGATTTTGTCGGGATGCTTCAACACCGGAGGTAGTGAGAACGTAACCCAAGTATTTTGTCCTGGTGACGTTGAACTTGCATTTATTTAAATCGGCTTGGAGTCCAGCTTCTCGGAGACGCTATAGGACCTTATGCACATGCTCCATGTGTTCCATAGGGTCCTCTGAATAGATTAGAATGTCATCTAAGTATGCGGTAGAGAAGTCATCTAAATATTGCATCAGGACGTCATTCATATACCGCTGATAGGTTCCGGGACCGTTCGTTAGTCCAAACGGCAGCACTTTGCACTTATAGGATCCATAGCGAGTCCGAAAGGTCGTGTACTATTCCGAGTCGGGGTGCATCCATATGCGATGGAAGGCTTGTCTGATATCTAGCTTCGTGAAGATTTTTGCTTTCAACACCCATCCTAGTAGTTCATAGATATGCAGGATGGGGTAGGGATTATTCCGGGTGAGACCATTTAACTTCCGGTAATCGATGCAAAATCTTAATTTGCCATCTGCTTTCTTTACGAATAGTATCGGGTGTCATAACTGACATTCGTTGCACTCAGTTTGCTATCAAACTCAAGAGCAAACTTAGAAATCTCCTCCTCAAACCTACAAGTCACTATACATATTTTGGCTTATCACACCAACAACAAGAGCAATACTACTCAACGATTGCTACAACCCTCTATGATTCATTACACGTCATTGCTCCTTAGTTACTGCGCCAATATGACCACATAGCATATCTCTACAACCCTCTATGATTCATTACATGACATCACTCCTTAGTTACTGGGCTAATACTACACATGACATATCTCTATCAACTAGAGGCCTAGGAACATGAATGATAGCTCCAAAAGCTTCTACAACCCTCTATGATTCATTACACGTCATCGCTCCTTAGTTACCCACAAGATTGGTTAAGTTATGGCATAATTTGTCTATAGGGGTACTCTGACCTTGGACCTCCTTTCACTTCCTATAGGCTAGGAACCTAGGTTCTATGGGATTCTCTTACATCGACTACAGTTACCAAGCCTGGTTAGTCATGGAAAGTCTTGGAAAATTAGAGAACTACACTCCTTTAGCATAAATAGGATTGCCCTTTCCTTAAGAAAGGGCAAGCAGACAATACAGTAAATCAACTATCACATACTTCCACATCTTTTCCAAGCTTCCAAGCATTGATCTTGTTACTTCTTGTTTCTGAAAAGTCAGTGAGGTGTTAACCTCTGACTTATCCCTGAGTTCTCAGACTCAACATTTGTTACAACTTGTCTAAACCACTCCACTATATCATACACCTGATTGCTGCATTGTGGAATAGTCTAAGCTACGACCCTTTGGCTCTGTTTCCTAAGACAGTGTGTTGTCTTAGTAAAATCACCCCTTCCTTGGGTGGCTAGATTCTCACATCTGGTGCACCCACCATTACATCGGGGATGCGAAGGGGCTATTACTGTTGACAATGAATCCTATTTCCAAGTTTTTTCAGTAAGTATTGCTTGGTAGCCTTAAGTGTAACGCTGACTTCTAAACGATAGAAGACACAGAGGTTCCTTGCGTAAGGTTGACTTGACAGAGGAGGCAGGGGATTAAACACAAAGGCTTTCCAAGTAACACATTACAGTATTGTAAAGAATACTATTTTGAGTTGAGCACAAAGCTCCTATCTAAGGAAATACTATCTACTTATATAGTGGCGTCGTGCCAAAGGGAACTGTAAGGAACTGTACAGGTTCTAACAGTTTCATCCTAAGGAACTGTAGGAACTGTACAGGTTCTAACAGTTTCATCCTGAGGAACTGTAGGAACTGTACAGGTTCTAACAGTTACATCCTAAGGAACTGTAGGAACTGTAGGAACTGTAGAAGTTCCAACAGTTCTCACAGCTCCATCCTGCAGAGTGGGGTCCTGTAGCGTGACCTACTCGGCTAATAGCTCTGCCGATAGCCGTAACAGATACTGCGACTCAGACTATGCAAGTGATAAATCCCAACGCAAGTCAGTCCTTGGAAACACATTCCTATTTGCAGGAGGTGTCATTTTACACACTTCAAAGCGACAGCAAACTGTGGCACAGTCAACTACAGAAGCAGAATACTACGCACTCGCGAAGGCAGTTTCAGAAGCACTCTGGCTGCAACAGATCATGAAGCAGATGATGTACACTGGTGATAACATTCAAGCTATACAAATCTATGGAGACAACCAAGGCTCACTAAGCTTGGCTGAAAACCCTGAGTTTCATCAGAGAACTAAGCACATTAATGTAAAGCACCACTTCATTAGGGAGCACATCGAAAAGGGAACTATCGACTTATGGTATGTGGAAACCGCCAACATGGTAGCCGATGGACTTACCAAGCCACTACCCGCCACACAACATAAGAAGTTCATACAAAAACTCCAGATGAAGGTGGTCACGGTCTAGGAAAGGGCCGATTCAGGCACACAAAGAGGTGTGTCAAAATAAGGGGTGGTTGCTCTGACCTGAATCCTGAGGCGTGCGGTGGCTACCTACCGAGGTAGCGCACCTCACTCGGAGTATATAGATTCTGTAGATTGCTTAACTCTAATAACAACAAAACAATCACATACACCAGTGCTCTGCTGTTCACCATTATTAGTTTACTTCTACCGCTGTACTGAGATAATCCACTTAGTTCAACATATTTGAATGAATATATGAAGCGTTTATGCGATACTTTTCAGGGATAAATGTAGTCTCTTGTGCTTATGCTATAATTTATACCGTACATGAATCATATCGTTAAATCGCATCTATTACAACCAACTCAGGCTATCTTCCACTTCCTACCCATCACAACCCTGTCATGGGTAATAAACCGAGCCGCCTGGCAGCTCAACAGGACTATACCGCCTCTCCCTTTGACTTTCCGGCAACTCATAAACCCCCCCACTACGAGACACATCACCGCCCTCTTTCTCCTGTACCCCTAGCCCATACTCACCCTCCTTCTCAAAGACGCCTGTAGTACGCGCCTTTGGCCCCCTTTTGTTGTAGGCGTTGAAGAGATAGAAACTCCGTCGTGTCGACTCGGTGGGAATGGGGGAGGCTGCGCGGTTCCGTTGGAATTTTCGCAGGAAGAGGACTGCGAGGATGATAAAGGCTATGAGGGCTACGCCGCCAATTGCACCCCCTATTATGGCACCTGTGCTGTTGGGTGTAGATGCGGGTGCTACTGGAGCTGTCGTGGCGCCAGAGGGATTTTCCCCTGAGCTATTCGTCGGAGACTTGGCGGTTTCCTCCGGGCCTGTGCTCGATGTAGGTGTGGGAGGTTTTGATGGGGAGTCGCTAGTAGTAGAGTCCGTAGTTGACGGCGGGGTTGAACTTGGAGTTGGGGTTGGAGTTGGGGTTGGAGTTTGACCTGGTGGGGTTGAGTTCGCTGAAGGCGTTATGGTGACAGTTGAGGCCGCTTTCGTCTGCGAAACCGTCTTCGCCGCTTCAGCTGCGTTGGACGACCACACGATCGCAGCCGGGCAATCGGTACCGCCACCAACTGGCTTTTCCGCCAGTTCGGCATGACAGGCAAGAGGAAACTCCGTTTTGTCTTGCAGATATTGTTCCATAACATATTCGAAGGGTCCTTTAGAATCGACAAAGAATGAGCTAGCTGTAAAAAACAATGCATATTAGTTACACTGGCACCTGTAATTGTAGAAGGGAAACCAACGAACCTAAAACTAGATTATTTGCATCTGTTTTATTCTGACACCACATCCGCAGGATTGTGGTGGGAAGGGTCGAGGTCCAATCCAACAACACCGAGTCTATCGTGTTGGCTTCCAGGTTTTCGCCCTTCACCGGAGTCTTCCAAACCGCCTTTTGTGCCTGCACTCCGGCATATTGAATGTCGAAGAGAAGAACCCCAACCCAGAAGACCACTAGGCGGCGCATCATTTCAAAAACGAGGTAAAAACGGAGCAACAAAGAAATGGTTGAGAATACCAGGAGCGACCACCATGCCAAAGATATGTAAAAATCGTCACTCATCAACACCATTCCGTTCTCGACATTTCCATACTCAGTACTATATAGGCGCCGCTACCCATGTTCAGATACAGATCTAAAAAAGGGTTACGCTTCAACTGACAGGCTAGGGAAGCATTGGTAGCAAGAGCTTATAGATTGCCGGCTGGCGGCTCCACTGGATGGCGTTAATCTTTCCTGCTTCAGACCAAAATGTTGCTGTCAGTGTTGGTGTTTGAAGATGCGGGCAAATCAGGCGTCATCTTTCTACCCTCAGTTAACCCCTGCATGTACTGTACAACACAGCGCCAGCGCGTAGTATTTTTATACTAAAGTTGCGCAAGGCAGATTCGAGGTAAACTAAAGGCTTCAGGCTCATTATATTTATTCTAAGCTTGGTTCATTTATATTTATTTGTGTGAATAGTAAGCCTTCGCCCTATGATTTTTTTAAAGATAAGAGTAATCAAGTGCTGACTTCGGAGTTCTGAGGTGAGGCGAAAGGGGCTCAGTGAGGGGTACGGTAGAGGAGCACATCGCGTAGCACGGCGCGTAAAAGTGCCCTAAAGGCAAAACCCCCCAAAGAAATGTCGGCGATCTATTCCGGGACGCAAAGAGCCAGAAAACCATTGGCCCATTGGCGTACTGATGTACAGTACGGAGTACAGTACGGAGTATTTCAGGGGCATTTGGCGGGGACGTGGCGGGCCGCGGCTGTCATCTGAACCCTTTGACCGCACATAAATGTCATCGTTACGTTACTTAACAGCAGCTTCATCTCCATCAATACTGATGAACATGTGCCAGCACCGTCGCATTACCCTTTTTTAATATTAAATGTGAGGTTCATCTGAAAGACGATGCTGACCAGATCATGGCTACCTAGAAAGAGGCTATTGGTCATCACCATCGCAATCGCAATCATCATCGTCTTCACAACTGTCTCAGATCTACACAATCGGTCGTCTGAACTGGTCACCGCCCTACATCTCCCTTCTTACGGAGGCAGCAATACAGCAGAGCAGGAGGCCTGTAAGCAGTCCCCCTCTCCCTCCTCAGCGGCCAGGACACCTACTGTATGAACCCGCCAGCTAACCTGCAACAGCATCTCAAGTGGCAACCACAACTCTCCTCGACGCCCAAGCACCCAAATATAACTATGTCAAAGCAATACTAGACCCCAAAGACGAAGAATTCGAGCGACTCCTGTGCCCGGCGCTTGCTATGAAGCGCTACGACTATCTTCGAGTCGATCATGGAGATGCGAAAGCCACCGATAGGCAGATAAAATACTTTTTTGCGCTCAATCTGCGACAATGCGTAGGCATACTCCCTCGATTGCTGGGATCCGTTGTGGAAACCGTGCGGTTTCTCGGTCCCGAAAACTGCGCTTTGTCGATAGTGGAAGGGCATTCCGATGATGGGACTTCTGAAGTGCTGGATGCGCTGCGCGTAGACATGGAAAACCTGGGACTGGAATTTCACCTCCAAACCAGCGACATCGATCCTAAGCAGGGTGACCGAATTGAAGGTCTTTCAGGCCTTCGAAACTTAGCCCTCGAACCACTGCTCAAAAATTCGGCTCGGTATTCCCCAGACACAGCGGTGGTTTTCGTCAATGACGTCGCCATATGTATGGAGGATATGCTGGAGCTGGTCCACCAACGCGTCTTTCAGAATGCGGATATGACATGTGCGATGGACTGGTCAGATATAGACCCCGCTCCCATCTTCTACGATATCTGGATCGCGAGAGCCATGAATGGGGACACATTTTGGGAGATCCCCCCGGACGGAGGGTGGCGATTTTCCTCGAATCTGTTTTGGAACCACCCAGTGTCCCGTCAGCGATTCGATGAGCACCAGGCCTTTCAAGTCTTTGCCTGCTGGAACGGCGCTGTTGTCTTCAGTGCAAAGCCTTTGATTGAGAAAAATATACGATTTAGGAAGTCGAAGGCTGGTGAGTGTTATTCGGGCGAACCGCGATTGTTCTGCAAGGACTTGTGGTTGGAGGGGTATTCCAAGATTGCGGTGGTCCCGTCGGTTAATTTGGACTATTCGGATGGGTCTGCTAAGAAGGCCAAGGCGTTGCACGGGTATGTTTCTGATGCGGTGAAGGCGGAGGGCAATGATAAGTCGTTGAAGATTGCGTGGGATGATAAACCACCTGAACAGGTCAAGTGTATGTCTGATTTTTCGGACCAATCTTGGGTGCCCTGGAATCAGGGATTTGAGTCTGATAGTTGAATGTATTAACCCATCTAATCTAATCTTGCTCCTCGTAAGCTAGTTTACATAACAATGTACTTGCACTCGAACTGCTATGTGGCTACTCGGCCTTGCATCCACCAGCCCCGCTGCGTTCCAACAACGCCTGGCCTTGCTGGTGGATGGCCGCATTTTTAGCCAGCTGCAGTTGGGAGGATTGCTAAGATATGACTGGAAGAGCTCGATCACTGGAGTCTCTTTCGCTCGCTGTTGCCTATACACTTGCTGCAGTGCCAGCAACGTCTTCATACATCGGTAACAAGGCTGTCAGTGTTGGATTCCTCCATATGGTTGGAGAATCGCATTAGAGTAATATATGTATATAAAAGTGCGAGAGGTAGCCTTTAATGCCGCGAATCTGTCACACTTCAAAACCAGTGCAACTATATATATCTATTTATTTTCAGCAGATAATAACTGTGATATATAGATATTAGTAGGTCTGGCCGGCCACATCAAGGAAGGTGGAGAGATGACAAGAAGCAACTATGGGAGATCAACGATATTATCTTGAACAGCAACTAACTCAACTTAAGAATTAGAATTTGACACATATTATACCCTGACAACGGTAGATCCGATCTCCCAGAGGGTTTCTATACAGAGGAAAGGTAAGACTACAGCCGCCGTCATCCGAAATTTAAATGCTGAGAAGTATGTTTTAAAGGGACGACCGAATGGAGCGACGCCTAGAGGCCGAAATCGCAATACATCTGGGAAAAGTGCCCAAAATGAGAGGCGAGCTGGCGGCACATACGACCCAAGCTATCAGCTACCAAGGGAAAAGATTGCGAATGCGCCTTATATTTGACGTGCTTTCGTCTGGAAGCGTTGCCTGAAAAAGAGGGTTGAGAATAGCGAAGGGAAAGGAGAGGGAGCACCTATACTAAAAGAGCTCTCTATAGGAGCACTAGTAGCAGGTATTTGTAAATACCTTCTAGCAATAGTAGATAAGATAGGGAATCTACTCTTATTTGCTTTCCAAAAGTCTAATGGAGAGATCTATAAATATTAGTATAAATATATAAAAGGGCAACTTACTTTAAAATGAGAAGTAGGTTCTAAAAAGTAAAAAGAGTAATCTCTGTCTCTAAATCTTCATTTAGATTTTGTGAATATAAAGCCTTTTCAAAGTCATCTAAAGAGTTATCTTCTTCTTGATTTTTATTTTTAATAAGAAGTAGCTCATTATCAAAATCAAGTTGTGAAGTTCTATAAATAGTTAGTATTATTTTATAAATCTTAAGTAATATAACTTACCTTAGGGGGGCCGGCCCTTTTTTCGTGACCATTGGAGAGGATTAATCGTATAAAAGGGTCTTAGACTGACCCACACTGTCTTATGTAGCTAATAATGTGGCTAGGAAAGGGCTTCATAGTATGATATTTTACTGCCAAGCCCATACTAGTAGCATTTCCGGAAGGTAATATTCTGACAGCCAATCAGTGTTACTATACGAAGACGATTCTGACATAATCTGTAACGTACATGTATAGCGAAAGCGCCAAACAAGCGAAAGCGCCAAAATTATCTACCCTCACGACAAACATTGCGATAAATCTACCACAACATTAGAAATCAATTGAAACTACTCGGAGTCCTCTTCCTCAGAGGTGTCTATTACAATCTGACACGTGCGCGCATTGTGCCCAGTCTCACCACACTTGCCACAGCGACGGGCACGGGTTTCTTCCCTTGGCTTCCGACCACGGCTTGCCCTTATTTCCTGCTCTACCTGCTGCACAACATCCCTCTCATCCTGTAGCTCTTGCGCCCCTTGTTGACTAAGTGATCCTCCTTGCTGTAGTCATGTTTTCCTAGCTCTCCGGCGCTTGCTTAGTACTTCATTTGCCTGTCGTAGGTTTTGGTTCTCTCCCTTTAGCAGTGCTAATTGATGCATTATTTGCGATGCACCCTTTGTAAACTGGTCAACAGCTGCATAGATTGAGGTTGGAGAGCTATTTTGATGGCGTGAAATCCGAGTTTTAATAAATGTAGACTGTGACATAGCTTCAATTGGGTTGTTTGGTGTCTGAGAAACCCAAGGTTGAGCAGTACCTGGGCGGGAGCTTGGAGGCGTTGGTGTCCTTAACTTAAGATCAAGTGTAGATATCACTCTCTCAGGGTCAAATGGAAGAAGCCCTGCCCCTCGGAACCCGCCTCGAATGTTACTTTCTGTCATTGTAGTGTTAAATGCAGCGTGGAAGGCAGGAAAGAAGTCATCCTTTGTAATATGAGAAATATGAGCCTGCATCATATCTTCAATTTGCCGACCATAGGCCTGCTTTAACGGGCCAAAACAGCCAACATCAAGTGGCTGGAGTAGATGAGAAGAGTGAGCAGGCATACAAAGCGTAATAATGTTGTGTTCCTTGCAGTACTCCTCAAACTCATCTGAGTGGTGGCTCTCATGACCATCAAGGACTAACAAGCGATAACCACCAACACTCCGGGCCTTTGTATGCTTCTCAAAGTGCTGAATCCAATCCATGCCTCTCTCGTTTGTAGTCCAGCCATTTTCAGTAACAGAAATCGCTTGAAAATCCACTATTCTCATACCAAGATGTAAGGTGGTTTTTGCCTGCAACAATGATAAATGGTGGTACTGCCCAACCTTGAGAACTAACGCCTTGGATTACTGTAACCCATTCCCGATTACCAGGCTGTACCTTCTTTGCTTTTGCCCGCCCGTCTGAGCTTGTTACAACCATAGCAGTTGAGATAACGCCCATCATAAACCCAGTCTCATCAAAGTTGTACATATCTGCTTCATCGATACCATATTTCGCAATTGTGTTACGCACAAGCTCAAACCAGCCATTAATAACTTCTGGATCTTCGCACTTAGCCCTCTGGTAGTCGTATTTGCGCTGAAAGCATGTCTGGAGCTCTACACGCCGCTTAACAAAGTTTGAAGCCCAACGCGACCCAACGCGTGACGCGTCGCATGTTGCAAGTAGTCGACTTGCCATATCTTCAACAACAGACAGCCGAGGAGGAAACCCTTTGGCAGCTAGGTCGAGTATATACTGAACAAGGACGGACTCCTCTAGGTTAGTTAATTTCCATGAGTTGGCTTGGATATCGCGTCGTGAAGGTACACCTTCTAGACGACGACCTAGCTTGCGGTGGTCCACAGAATAGATCCTAGCAGCAACTCGAAGGCGTAACTTTGGGTCGCTTTGCATAGCCTGGATAGCTAGCACTAATTGGCTTTCATCGTTTTTATGGGGCATGTTTTGTTGTTGAGGAATTTAACATTTAGTTGGGGGGTTTGGTCACCGCATCATTTTGGCGCTTTCGCTTGTTTGGCGCTTTCGCTATACATGTACGTTATACTAAAATAGTATTAATAATAGTAATGAAATTAAGGCCTAACCAATAGAATTAATAAATAGAAACCTATGTGAGAGGCTACTGTCAGAATTAAATAATTCAACACACGTGATATTAAAATACAAAATATAATATAACGTGGTTTATCAGTACGTCGGACATATCAGTACCTCGGACACTTTTTCCAAAAACTTCACAATGTGTTTTTTCCACCTTTTATTATGTCAGTGATTACCCAAGAAGCAAAAATCATTCTAGCTATCAAGGCTATCCGAACATCAAAAAATCTAAGTCGTCGGAAGGCTGCTAAGCTCTATGAAGTACCTCATTCTACACTCTGCGACGGAATGAACGGCCGAACTACTGTCTACGAACGCCAGCCTGCAATGATGAAATTAACTATACTAGAAGAGGAGGTGGTTATTCGGAATATACTTGATATGGATTCAAGAGGATTTGCACCCTGGCTTGCTGGTGTAGAAGATATGGCAAATTTTATACTCGAATCGCGTGGAGGGAGGCGCGTCGGGAAGCTCTGGGCCCACCGATTTGTACAACGACGTCCAGAATTAAAGACACATTTTAATCGCGTTTACGACTTCCAAAGGGCCTTGTGCGAAGATCCTGAACTAATTGGCACGTGGTTTCGACTAGTGGAAAATATGAGGGCAAAATATGGTGTTTTGGACTGCGACTTCTATAACTTTGACGAAACTGGGTTTATGATGGGTGTGATTTGCCCTGCAATGGTTGTTACCCATGCAGATCGACTTGGCAGAGGTAAGGCAGTTCAGCCAGGGAATCAGGAATGGGCTACAGCGATTGCTTGTATCAACAGTGACGGCTGGAGTATTCCTCCATTTTTGGTAGTTAAAGGCAAGAATCATCTTGCAAATTGGTATACAGACGGCGGCCTTCCACACAACTGGGTTGTTAAACCGACAAGCAATGGATGGACAAACAATGAGACGGGTCTAGAATGGTTGAAACACTTCGACAAACATACTGCTGTTCGTGCAAGGGGTCCATATCGAATGCTGGTGTTAGACGGGCACGAGAGTCATGAATCGGCCGAGTTCCAAGAGTACTGCAAGGCACACAACATTATAACTCTTGGACTACCTCCCCACTCGTCTCATTTAACTCAGCCACTTGATGTCAGGTGCTTTAGTGTGTTGAAGCGGGCATATGGTCGGCAGATTGAGACCTTCATTAAGGCTCATATCAACCACATTACCAAGGTCGAGTTCTTTCTCGCCTTTAGAGCAGCATATCTGGAATCCATGACAGCCCAAAACGCCCAGTCCGGGTTCCACGGAGCTGGCTTAGTGCCTTTCGACCCGCAAGCAGTGCTTTCAAAGCTTGACGTGAGGTTACGGACTCCAACTCCCTCTAGACCCTCTACTGCCAACACCAACCCTTGGGTCTCCCAGACCACTTCCAACCCAACTGAAGCTCTTTCACAAACAACCCTCGTTCGAAATCGAATTGCCCGTCACCAAGGAAGCTCGCCAACTCCACCCTTCGGGACAGTTATTGCATTGGCAAAGGGTACAGAGCGACTAGCACATGAGAACACCCTTCTGTCTGCTGAGGTACGTACCCTTCGAGCAGCCAACGAAGCCCTTAGCAAACGCCGCAGGGCTAAAAAGGCTCGTGTCCGTG